GCGATAAAATATTAACATGAATTTATAATTTCCTAAACAAATGACTCAGGTAGTAAAAATATAAGAAATTGCTTCACTTTACAACTTTTCAGCATTTCTCCCCCAAGAAAACATGCACACTGCTAATAGACAAAATCCACCCATTAGCTTTGTTTTCATCCTCTAACTCTAGTCAGGCTAGCTAAAAATATGTAATAATTTATGGTAACTTTTTGTATACTTGACCTGGAAGAAATTCTTTAATATAGAGTTGTAAACCATAATTATTATTATGACAATAATGTCTAACTCATTGTCAGGTTTTAAATTAGAAAAAACAAACAAAAATTAATATTGTTCAATAACAGGTTTAGAAAAATCAAAAATGAATCAAGTCTCCAACTGCATATTTTTACACAATCTTAATCATATCTAACTATTCATCATATATTTCTTATGTTTCCAAAATTTTACAATTACTACTTTGTTTCATCATAGTTCATTATTTAATACATTTTGCATTAGAACAAAATTGAAACCTATGCACTAGATACACATTTTTCACATCATTCAAATTCTGTAAATATTTTTAATTTTAAAAGGTTTTTCTTTAATAGCTATATTTCTGAAAATATATAATAAATATGTACTGGAAGTAGAATAAGTTGAAGAATAAACTACATCGATATAAATCCAACAAAATTTAATAAAATAAAAACGTTTTCAATCGTTTTTCAACAATCATCCTCAGTTACCGAAAATAGATTATTAAATATAGAACATAAAATGCGTTCGAAATAAATACTAAAAAGAAAAATTAACGGAAAACGCCCTAGCAGATGCACTAATCAAAAATTAACAAATAAATCAAATAAATAGTGAAAAATTAATAATTGTAAAAGGACCTCCATGTAGACAATGAGTTGGCATCTCTATGGTTTATACAACCGGTTTTCATGTGCGCTTTATAGATTTCCAATCTCTCTAGATCAGGGGTCGCCAAAGTGGTCGATATGGACCCCCAGCGGTCGGTGCAACATCATTGGGGGGTCGATGCGGCTAAGGGGTCACAACCTTTTTTTTTCACTCATACATATACACTTGTAATAAAACTTTACGGTGGGGGTCAATGTGAGGCTTTGGAAAGTGATTGGGGGTCGACGGTTAAAAAAGTTTGGCGACCCCTGCTCTAGATGTTTGATCGTTTGCCTATTAGTCATCATTTTTATAATTGCCACTTGATCCCATTGCACGTTAATATCCTGTTGCTTTGCGTACGATGCCAACACAGTGTTATCAAGGTTCCTATCGATTGTATATTTGTGTTCCTTGAATCTTTGCTTTAGACCACACATCATCGCACCCACGTAAACTAGCCTGGAATTGAATCGTTGGTCATGTATTAAATGTGCTTATATGCATTGTACAAGTTTCTGTGACATGGTAAGAGAGCTAAAGTACATTCTTAAGATAGCCCAACTACACGGATATCCAAAGGAAGAGATAGAGGATCTTATTTCATCCTTCCAATCCACTGCACGGCATTCTCCCAAGGTTGACCGTAATAAACAAATAGTGCTTAATTACATCCCATTTTTGAACAAGATACATAGATCTACCACCAAGTCTAATAACTTTCACATTGTATACCAGCGCAATCCCACTATTTTCAAACTTTTAAGAAACAATAAAAAGGAGGAGGATCGGAATTCAACAACGGGTATATATTCGGTGCCTTTACATGACCAATGATTTGATTCCAGTCTAGTTTACATGGGTGCGATGATGTGTGGTCTAAAGCAAAGGCTCAAGGAACACAAATATATGATCGATAGGAACCTTGATAACACTGTGTTGGCATCGTACGCAAAGCAACAGGATATTAACGTGCAATGGGATCAAGCAGCAATTATAAAAACGACGACTAATAGGCAAACGATCAAACATCTAGAGAGATTGGAAATCTATAAAGCGCACATGAAAACCGGTTGTATAAACCATAGAGACGCTGACTCATTGCCTACTGCGTGGAGATCCTTTTACAATTATTAATTTTTCACTATTTATTTGATTTATTTGTTAATTTTTGATTAGTGTGTCTGCTAGGGCGTTTTCCGTTAATTTTTCTTTTTCGTATTTATTTCGAATGCATTTTATGTTCTATATTTAATATTTTATTTTCGGTAACTGAGGATGATCATTGAAAAATGATTGAAAATGCTTTTATTTTATTAAATTTTGCTGGATTTATATCAATGTAGTTTATTCTTCAATTTCTGAAAATGTTAGCATTAAAATTAGCAGAAGTACTTGAACTGGTGTTTTGTTTCTTCTAAATTAACTTATCCCTGTTTACATTTTTATTTTGTCAAAGATTTAGCTGTTAACCTTTTAATTTCCCCCAAGACCATATTCTTGGGCAATCATATTAAATTATGTTGATATCAATCATGTTTGTATTATGAGTATATGCTGCTATATATGAGAGTTATGTTTGTATTGTGAGTCTATGCTGTTCTATATGAGAGTTATGTTTGTATTGTGAGTATATGCTGCTCTATATATCAGAGTTGTTTGAATCTATATAGAGAATGTTGTCTGGATTTTCTGTAAATATTTGTTATAATTTTTTCTTGAATTAATTCATTCATTATTTCTAGGAAGTGCACCTCTAACTTTTGTCAACTTCAATTTACATGGATTTTCAATAATCTCTGATAGAAATAACTATAACTTTGGTTCTTGTTTTCAGGTAATCATTTCATCATAAACACAGCTTTTATAGTAAACAACAGTATCCAGATAGTTGGAAAAAACTGTTCTAACAGTTAGTTCACAAAGAATATCTGTCTTTGGTTATCCCATGAATACTCTTCTGTCTTGTTTATATAGTTGACCTTGAAAATTAACTAGCAGCTTTACATTATCACCATTAACAATTTTGCAAAACTAAAGTAAGATAGTAAATTGGAACAAATCAAACTACAAGAGAAGTAATTAACTCCAAACATACAAAATACGCTTATATGTGTAAAATTTACAACAATGCAAAAAGTGATTTTCTCAATACTACAAGGAAACTTTATCTTTAATCAATCTTTATCAATTGGCATAAAAATTTATATTAATTATATTTGTTAGTATATAAAGATTGATAGGCCTACATATCATTAATTAAAATACAACATCAAAATAATTTGTTAAAAATGCAAATATTGTATTTCTATGTGTACATTTACATTTCAAATCAGCAAGAACATTTTTAAATAATAAATGATTAGAAAACCAGAAACATTTATTATATAATAATGTTCTTTCTGATTGAAACAAATATATCCAGTAGAAGATATAAGTTTAATAAATTAAAAATGTTTAAATGATAATTGTATCCTCATTATTGTTTATTTGCTGTGTTGTTATATCACTAGATAGAAGTAAATTGAATATGCCACTTAGCATCACAAAAATATCTTTTAAATTAAAATAATTACATATTGGGAATCAAAAGAAACTTTGATCAATGCAAGTGCATACAAATAAATGTAAATAATCTGAATGCATCAATTACATGTATGATATGCAAAATTCCACTCAGATCAAAATTTTATATATTATATATATATATATATATATGCAATTACTGATTATGTAATTATATCATCATATAATTACATAAAAGATAATTACATAGATCAATTGCATCTATACAGATAATTATAACAGTATTAATGTAACACATTATTTTATACAAACATATTAATATATCAAATTTTTTATTTTGTATTTTCAAATGCAATAATAAATATAAATAATTCATAATTATTATTGCAGTTAAAAATATAAATATATTTTTTAGATGCTTTACATAATACTTTTTATGTATAAACATTAAAACACAGACTAATGAATTTATAACTACTACTAAAACAGAAATAATTTTTTATTATATTATATAATTTTTTAAAATTGATACAATATAAATCAAAATTTAAAATATTTTTATTTTTTGCACATTATTATATTTATTAATTCAATAATATAACAAAAATATGACATTGCATAGATTAATATTTTATAAATTTCTTTTTAATTTTAAAATATCCTTATTAAAAACATTAGAGAAAACAAAAATGTACACTTCTCTGCAAGACTATTAATATTAACATTTGCTGAATAGAGCTGTCACATGTAAATAATGAAAGGAATTTTCATATGAATCAATACCCTTTGAGAATATAATTTAATAATTACAATCACTCAATAATATTCATATAAAATTTATACTTCTTATGAAATGAATGAATAATCATAATTTTCTTTTCTTAGTATAATATATCAACTGTGAAAAAAATTAACCATAACTCAAACATAATACAATAATTCACTCTGTAGAAAATTCAATCAAATTTATGTATAATTTTATTATGTTTTGTAACTTTTCATTTAGATTTTATAACAATTTCTCTTAGTTTGAGACCAAAGATTTTTTATCATTATTTGTTTATTTAGGGTTCAAGCATGCTTCTGTAAACAAGCTTATTTAATAGATGCCATCAGCTGATGAGAAAATAGACTATGCAGGCTTAAAGAACAAGTCAATCAGCTGATAATTATTACATAAAATTTACAAGATAGCTGACATGTATTATAAAATTAATGATAATATCAATATTAAAACTAAAATGTATGAAGAACTGTAATTTTTATATTCTGTTTTGAAAACTCCAGTACAAAACAGTTTTTGTTCTGTATTTTAAGATCTGTTATATGTTAATATAAATGTCTACTACCTTATAATTAATAAAGGCTAATATTTCTAATAATAAACACTTATTTATATTAATTCAAATTGACTTTTATAGTATTTACATAAATGTCAACACTAATAATTCTATTCTTTAGTTTTTACTACATGACAACTGGCAGTTGTCTCTGACTAATATTAACAGCATCTGTTTCGCAATTACAAATTAAATGTCAACATAAAGCCGCGTAGAGGAACAAAGACGAAGTGAACTAACCTTTTGCCAGAGCAACCGTTGATTCTTTCGTATCAATTGTATATAAAATTCCTTCATAACGTATTTCAGATTTGGATATTAAACTTATTTTACTACCTAAATATGGCGTGCCTCCACTCATTGTTTAGAATCAGTCAACCTGCGACAAGCAAGACGATGAAAATGGATTACAGACACAACAAAACACCTTCTCCCAAGCCACAATCACCCCAACTCCAAAAGATGGCGAACGATTCACTGAACCTCATTCGTCAAACGCAAGAGGTGGAGCCAACAGTGTCACATGACCAAAAGTCACGAAATATATTAGTTGACTGAAATGATGTCATCGTGATGAACATTTTCAATGAAAAGTACATTAAAACCATTAATAGTTTTATTTATTAATAAATAAATAAATAAAAGCAAATGTTTTGCTTAGATTTATAGTTTTATTGAAATATTTTATTTTTTATTTCATTTATGTAAGAGAGTCGCATGTATACTTGCTATTAATGCAACAGGTTTAAAATGTGTAATGGATAATGTCTCCTATTTAAAAAATAAGATATTTAAAAAAAAATTTAAATTTAGTAAGTTAAAAAATTGTTTTAAAAGACATTAAAACGTATCCATAATTTTTTAAATTTCTTTTCTTATTATTTTTAATTTTATTTATACAATTAATTATATAATTTTGAAAATTTTAAGGGAGAAAAACAAATTTTTTTTTTACAAATTTGTTATAAGTTCTTGTAGGAAAAAGAAATTTAAAAGTTATATAATAAGTATATATAATAAATAAATAAATGTATAAAATGTTTTATATAAATCTTCATAAATTATTATATAATTTCAATTTTATAAATAGAAATATCAATATTTTTTGTTTTTAATTCTATAATAAAACAATTATAACAAAATGTGATTACGAATTCTCTTGCGCTTTCTGTTTTTTACAAAAACAGGAATCGAAGATAAATAATTTTGTTACTGCAATATTTGAGGCGTTTGAATTTTGTTTTTATATTAAAAAAACGTACAGTAACTAAAAACAAAAAAAAATTGTCATATTAATATATATAGATAATTCTTCTTCATGCAACTTAACAATTTTAAAAGTAAAAAAATTAATAATTATATATTTTTACTAAAATTAAAAGGTTTTAAATTATATGAAATTTTAAGTCTTAATTAAGGCTTTTTAAATTCAATTATCTTGTGATAACTAATTTAATTTACCTGTAATATAAATTATCTTTATTTTATTAAATGTTCTGGGTCAAATTTAATTTATTAGCACTTATTCTGCTTTTTTCAGAACAAACTGTAGTGTTTTTCAAAGAAATTAATTTCATGACATAAATTAAGAAATTTATAAATATCTGAGCTTTAAATTCAAAATATTTGTTACTAGATAATTCGAAACAAATACTGTATATTTAACTTCAGATGAATTCGAATATTTATTAAGATAAATCTTAATTTACGTTTTTCCGGCTCCTACCGTCTCGTGAATATGAAGGTAACTTTTCTTACACGTCATGAGTTCTGATAGACCCGGAATGATTATAATCAGGTGGTGAAGAATTGGGTCCTACATATCCAGGACCCAGTGGCGTACCGTGGGTGTCAGCCGCCCGGGGCAGAGGAAAATTTCGGCCCCGTTATTTAGGTATTTCAATTTAAAAGACCAAAATTCAGTTTTGTCACAGAACAAGCAATGAAAAATTCAGTGGTGTGCAGAGACCTGTTTAAAATAGTTCCATTGGATATTAGTGGTGTATATGAACGCGAATGAATCGTACAAGCAAAACAAAAGGTTTCGCAGGAATTCCTCGGACGAAAAAGTTACTAGTTTACCCGGCGAGCCGATTCCCAGACTGTCCGGACGATAGCACTATCGTAGGCGCGATGCAAGTACAGTAATACCCCGACTTACACTACCCCGACTTACGCGAACCCGGAGTTACGCGATTTTCAAATCTCGTCGATTCGTCTTTTGTTTCAGCGCCACGAAACCCTTGATTACTCACTCCCCCCACACTATTGTTCAGCTTACACGTTCCTCACTCCCCCCACACTATTGTTCAGCTTACACGTTCCTCACTCCCCCCACACTATTGTTCAGCTTACATGTTCGGACGTGTCGCGCGGAATCCACACATAGCTACAATTTATTTTGTGCTATTTATTTCTGTGTTTGTTATATCTACGGAGACTCGAGAGACTCTACTATGTCATCCAAACGAAGTAGAACTAATTCTTCTGCATCAAACAAGAAAAAAAAAACTTTATCTTTGGAATGTAAAGTTAACATTGGGTACGTTCGTAAAGTCGAACGAGTTAAACGAGAATGACGTCATCGTTATTCCTATTTCGTTAGACTTTTCGAAAGATTCGTTACTAACGCGTTTAACTCGTTTGACTTTACGAACGTACCCATTATTAACGACTTCGATGCAAAAATGAAAATTTGTGAATTGGCAAAAAAGTTTGATCTACCGGAATTGTCGGTCAGAACAATTATAAAAGGCAAAGAAAAAATTCTCGAAAGCTGTGAAAAATGCTCAATTTTTAAATTCAAGCATCATTCGTAAACGTCATGGTATTATCGCTGAGATGGAAACAATGTTAAAATTATGGCGTAATAATCAAGTAAATATGAAAAATTGTAAAATAATATAGGCGTAATTTGTTATACATATCAGGGCCGGATCATCGCATAGACAAATGAGACAAATGTCTAGGGCCCGGTTTTTAGAAGTGCCCGGTCAAACTGTTTACTGTATTTTGAAAAGATTTGTAAATAAGATAGTTTGCTTTTCTATTGGACAACTGTATATAATAAACAAATAAACAAAAATATATTGCTTTTTATATGGTTATTGTGAATTCTAAAATCTATAGAAAATGTGTTCTTATGTTTCTTCTTTTGAAAGTAAAACTTCGAATAATTTAGAATTTCTTTTTTTATAGCGATAAGAATAATATTAACTATTTCTATATGTATTCTTAACATCCTGTAAAATATCTATATCTATATCTATATCTATATCTATATATAAAAATGGACATGTATGTCCCTATATTTCACTTTTCCGCCAAAACTACACATCGCACGTGAATGGTGTTTGTATGTGGTGGTAGCCCCAAGTCTCCATTCGTGCATAGGGGTGGTTGCGTCTCGATAGCTATAAGGGTGCGGGAGATATGGGCTTGAAAGTGGTTGAAAGTGGCTTTCTATTTCGAATGTTTTGTTCGATTTTTTCGAATTTGTTCGAATTAAATTAGAACATAAAATTCGAATTGGTTCGATTATAGAACGATTGTAAACGTTCCAGAAACGTTGAAATTTGTTCGTTTGACTAAACGTAAAAATTCCCTAATTAGTCTGGAAACGGGGGACCTAATTCTTGCATTTTGTGAAAACGGGTAAGATTAGCTATAATGTAATTATCTTAATCTTCACTATCGTTACTTTTTGCCCAGCGAAGCGGGTCCTTGCAGCTAGATTCTAGATTACTTAGAAAAATAGTCTTTTATATATATATAAAAACTATACTATTACATACAAATAAAAACCCAGCGAAGCGGGATCTTGCAGCTAGTTGTTAAATAATTTTGCTTTTATTTTTTATTAAGCATCTGCAGTGTCCGTATGCAATTTAATAGAAATAATAGTGACAAGATTTATTAATTGAAAGAGCCGGGAGAGGGCCCGGTAAGAAGAAAATGTCTAGGGCCCCAAAGTGAGTTAATCTGGCCCTGATACATATGAATTATCTAAGATTTTATTAAATATTTTTTTCTAAATTATTGTTTTCTTTAGTCTCCGGCCCCAATTAAAAATTATTTGTATGTATTTATATGAGAAATTATACCCCGACTTACGCGGTTACCGCTCGGTCCCACCTATAGCGTAAGTTCGGGGTATTACTGTATAGATTAGGATGTTTCAAATTTTTACAAGATATTATTATTATTTATTGTGAAATTTTGCCGCCCTCTAAAAAGTGCCGCCCGGGGCGGGCCGCCCCTTCCGCCCCCACTACGGTACGTCACTGCCAGGACCGAATACCCACAAAAAATTCCTGAGGTTTGGTTCTTTCGGACTCGACCCCGAGTCTACTTAGGCACTAGGATGGCGCGTTAATCCCTTCCTCCATCCGATAGTCGCCCAACAATCAGGGGTGGCCCTAGGGCGGTGCAAACGCTGCGACCGCACCATACGCTGTCATAGGGGGCGCAAAAAATAAAACCCAATCGCCTTATTACTACTTAACCCTACTCGCCAAAATAAATTCTATACAACAGTGAGCTGGGTTGTGCGCATTTCAAAGGTATACACATATAGCGTGAAATTCGCACTTAAAGTTGTAGATTGTTAACCTTTTCAAACAAATATTTCTTTTTACTGTTATTGTTTCTCATCCATACTACTACTATGCTAATCTTTCGGAGGTCTGAGTTATTAATAATGTAAAGAATGTATTATCTTTAATCTCTATGTACTGTACAGTTTAGTCTCTCTACAGTGAAATCTCGCACCATCTGAAAACCTTGTTAGGCCTCCCCTGCCAACAATGGCCGCGTGGATAAAACCATAGAACACTAGTCGTTGGTCGTGGGTTTGCACCTAACCAAAGGGTTGACCATAAGAATTTTCCGATTTTCTTCGCGTGTCTAACACTTAAATAGGTACCAGTTTCCATTAAAGTTTTCCCGGAAGGCACTCCTTTGACAAATTGCTCATGTGATGCATTGTCTAATACTAAGAGTGGCAACCTTTGTCACACATGCCAAACGTGGCGCGCAAACGACTTTTTTTCCGAAATGCAGCTCAGGGCTTACAAAGTAAATAAATATCCAAATTTTTAACATATACTTTTTCATGTTTAGTAAACAATTTTTTAGATTTATAAAGTGTGTGTGTATATGGATTTTGGATTATTTGAAAGGATCTTTCTATAGTAGAAAAACATTAAATAATATGCTTTCAAGACGGCCGGATGGCCGAGCTGACAAGGTAGCAGCTTACTGCTCTAGGGGACGCGGGATCAAATTCGAACAAGTCAAAAAATTTTTTTCGGGAGTGGTCCGTCGATATGTCAAGCCCTGTACCTCACCACCCGGTCGCCTCATTGTGGGCTTGGCCGTACCCATAATGGGTTTGCAAAAAGAGGCCCACAAGGTGGAAAGAGTTAAAAAAAATATATGCTTTCAAAAATATTGGTTGACACGTGAAAACATTTTTAATCATACTTCTGACGATTTTGGTACAC